TCATTCGGCCGCTCATCAAAAAAATATATCTGACATTTTTGCAAGAAAAACTGATTTAAAGCCCCATTTCGAAGAAATTTCGTTGGAGTTGTTCCGCTGCAAGCATTTCAATCTTATTATAGGGTCGATAGACCCCCAGGTGTAAAGTTGCAGTGACATGACAGACTCGTGATATATGAACCAAGACAAATATCCARACATATGACACGTAATTTAATTGAATTTTTTCCATATTACAAATCACAATTTCTTTTTTTCCGTCGAGTATAACATTTCAATTACGTCCATTAAAAGCGGATTTAGGAACAAAGCCATAACCGAAGATTTACAATGCAATATTCCCGAGGGAATGGTGACAAATCTGCGAAACATGAAGTCCGTAACCGCAAACTAACCGTAATGTGTAGCAAAGCAACCCTTCTCTAATTACCCTCTTTGGAAATCCGTTATAAAGGCAAGACGGCTGTCTTGGAGGTCATTTCTCGTCTCGAATAGTCACTTCATCCACGTTGATGAGAACTCTCCACAGACTTGTCTTGACGGGCGAAAATTACCCGAGAGGAGTTTCCGAAGCGTAAACAAAGCAGAAAGTTGGCGAAAACAAAACACATTCGGTTTATTTATAAAATAGTGTTAATACAACTAAATTGTTTATTATTTAGGTGATAAAATTTTAGCGTTTACTTACGCCATGCGAACGGAGAGGGGCATTTTCTTGATCTCATCAGGACAAGTACATTCAACACCTCACTGTCATTCCATTTAATTAGTTTCACGCGAACTGTACAAGCTATAAATATAAAGTGTGTGAAGGTACGAAGTGGACTAAATATACATCAACACGAACACACTTGAAACTGTCACAATTCCCCCGAAATTGAGCAAAACGAGGGCATTTCGGCACCATCACTCACATTCTCCTCGAYTAAATTCCACGCTAGCGTGTGAAAAATTCTCCGATCCGCGGGGGATTTTAATTAAAGCTCCATGTCACAGATCCGCGATCCCTGAAGAGGAAAAGTGTTACRACCTCCCCCTCGTGAGCTTCCCGCACGACTGGCTATTCCTGCAGCAGTCCTGCTGTGCACGCATCTGAGAGGATCCTGCGGAGATGTGGAAATTCGGAGCGAGTCGGATCAGTGTCGCGGCCCGTCGTCGCGTATTTTTTCAATAAATAAAAAAGTGGCGCGGCCAAATTGAGGTCTGCGAGGAAAGTTCACCAAGTTGATTTTGCTAACTGACGGAAAATAGGGCGAGGGGGTTAATATRGGAGAGTGGACGCGAAATGGACACTTTCGTGATTAAAGAGCAACGAAATGATGAACCGATCAACTAATAAACAAATAACGGGCAATTTTCCRATTACAAAAACTGGRTGGAGAAAATRAGAAAAAGCGAAAACACTGAAATACTGAAAACTTCAAACTTGATCTAAATGCAGTCAGTGCCAAGAGAGTGAATAATTTTTCAAAAATTTTGAAAGTTATGAGCTAATGAACATATTAGATTAGAACAGAGATACTGGCCAGAGGCGTGATAGCGCAGCGACATAAGATTACTGCTTTGGCAGAAATGCGAGCTTTAAGAGCTTTTTTATCGTATATTTTTTTGATTTTTCTTAGATGCCATACGTAATAGGTATAGGTACTCATTTTTTTTCAAAAAATCGAAAAGTTAGTTAAATTATCTTGCAGATTCAGAAGGGTGCATTAAACATTGTTGGGTCGATCAACTTTTTGTTGCAAAAACACTTGAAATATAGTCTTTTAGAAGTAATATCACTCGTTAACATAATGCAAAATGTCAATTGAGTAATAAAGCTGAAAATAGAACTATAAGCATACATATAGGCACTATTATTCAATTCTAGTCAAAAAAATAAAAAAAATTGAATCTAATAAGACACAAAAACTGATACAGTATGTAAAATTACATGTTAGATTCCAAATTTTTTAAATTTTATAACCCAAAAATGATCCCAATTTTTCATTTTTGTAAATTGCGGCAAAACTGTACATCAAAAGTTATAATGTTTTAAATTTTACTTATGTAAAATGTTCTGGAAAATAAATTGACGTTGAAAAAAACCACAAAATTTGCAATTGTTTAGAATATAGT